GTTTAAAAAAGGTGTCCAAGTCACCCATCGGATGGGGGAATCAGTATAAAAGAAATCAGAGTATGTGTTTAATTAATGAATATGATAAATTTCCATATTCAATACAATAAAAGCAGATAACGATAGTTTTTTTTTTTTTTTTTTTTTTAAAAGGGGGGGGGGGGGCGTACGCCCATTACGCCCTTACCTGGACCCGCCCCTGATGAACAGATGCAGATTGACATATTTCTAAATACAATTTAAATTTAATGCCAACCTCTTTTTAACTCGAACCAAAGCCGACCTTGTATTAATAAGAAGACAAAATTGCTAATGAATTAAACACTGTAAGTGAAGAAATGGAAGACAATGTATATAAAAATTAATTTTGATTTTACAAGCCGTTAGCTAATTTTGTGATTTTAAGTGATGTTGGCTCTCCGAAATGACTAGATATCAATCTTTCTTTTATCATCCAAAGCAACCACAATTTGATATTTTTAAAATAACAAAATTATTATGAATTATCCCATCTTTTTCAACATTTTCATTGTCAAAATACATGCTGCAGAGTGATATTCATTAATAAACAAAAGAGTATGCAAATGTTTCAAAGCTTCCTTGTGAGCAGCAACCGTAATCCTTTGTCATGGAAATAGTCCGTGTATATCGTATCAACTAGAAAATATGTACGCCTATGTAGTTGCTTCTTTAAGGTTGTTTCATAGATTTGGAAAAAAATGAAAATAACACGTTTTAAATTTCATGCGTCCGAAGCGCTTTTCTGGATTTACCTTCATCAGGAACGTTCAAAGCCGAATATTTTAAAGCCAATGATGTATAAGAACCGAAACAGTTGAAGAGCTACATAAACAAAAAGGACCTACTAAAAAAAATGCCAAATACAACTAAGGTCATCTTTGTAAAGTTCACAATACATGTAGGTATATTGAAATCTTTTTTTTATATATTTCGAAGTAGGACTTGTTCGTTCATCTTTTGTTAAAAAAAAACTTGTATGTAGGGCAAAGAAGTCAAATATATTTTATACTGTTGCACATGAAAAGGGTAATCAAATCTGATGCACATCACACCTAGAGTACATTGTGTGACATTTACTCTGAAGGCGGTTTCGATTGCTTATAAAAAGAAGATATGAATTAGGGAAGAAGGTTCGTAGAGCATTTGCAGACCTAGCAATATAGTTTGTTATGACGTTTATGTAAACTGGATATCATACAGAGTTAGGGAAAATACTAAAAAGAATATAAAACAGATTTATTGAAATGTAACTTATAAAAAGAAGATGTTATTTTAAAGGGCTTCATTTACAAATGTAATTAAGATTGAGTCACCGATTTTTACAATCCATTATCTCAATAACGGACTAAAAGCTTGGCCATTGTTGTAGCATGCAAGTATTGAATACATTTCATATATATACCAGTTGACACAGTTATTAATGGTTAATCACTGCTTTTATATACCCGTCATAATAATCTATACCAATTTCAGTTCAATTTATAAAAATCATAGATACAATGACATTAAAATTAAAAAGCATATTATATAGAGATATTTTTAAACAAAACATTTAGTATTTAAACAGTATACTACCAGACGTGGTGCATCCATATGCATTTGATATGCAAACAAAATTACCGTTGAAACACACATAAGTCAATAGTATTTTGTTTTAGCAACACAGCTGAACAGTTTGCCTGGCATGCGGAAATTCCCTGTTTAAACGTTATGCATAAGGGGATAAAGCACGAGTCGTATCACTTTCTATGACAGGATTGCCTTATGTAACACAAGGATACAAACAGACATACAAAATGCTTTATTACATTAAGGACAATTTCTATAAAGTTTAATAATAGTTTCTTTTTCACGCAGAGAACTGCGCATGTACATATACCTTTTAAAAAATGCTACCAATATAAACCTCATAGCGTGGATAGGAGTGTATTTTTCAAATTTTTCGGTCTAAATATTAAATAAAATAAGCACATTTTGGGGTAGGAATGCAATTTATTTTAGAGATTTTTCTTTTAAATGAAGGAAAGTATGTAATTTTATCTTAATATAATTACCACTATATTTAAAATACATACTTTGATTTGATTGATTCATTTATTTTTTTAATTTAACCAATAAGGGGACACAACTCCGATATTTTACTTTGCAAAGGATTAAACAGTAACATTTTACTTTGTATAATTGTTAGAGAGAAAGAGGAGTGACCACATTGTTTCCCTTTTGATTTTCTGAAAGCTATTCATAAGAGATTTTCTCACGTTTGAAATAAAACTTCTGTCATTAATACTTCATTATAATACACAAAAAGCCTTTATCCCTGCTGTAATCCTTATGTACACGTAGCTTGAAAACAAGCCCGGTGATCTATAACTCATTTTAGTTTTTCTTTTTAATTAAATTAGCAATTTACAATTGCTTTGATATTTAAATTAACCAAAAATAGTATTGCTCTATAATGACATCTAAGCTCACTTTGAATGATACGACATGGAATTTAAGTTCATAATACATAATACAGATAACAAGAATTAACAACTATATTCAGTAACTACCACATAGGTCAAAAACAGCCGACTTTTCCAAAAAAATAAGCATACAATTAAGGACTAACTTTAACGAACAACATATGGTCAAACATGTCTCCAAAGGAGTTTATTTATAGCATAGAAACATAATGATTGGAATCGTTTATGTCTTTTCTGCATAATATAACTTTTAATCCACCCCATGGTCATGATGCTTTAAAAGGTTAAAATATTCATTTCCCATCTTCAACTTTTCGCATGTATGGTGGGTTTCGTGTCTTGGTGCATGTATCTTTGTTCGTATTTTTGTTTTATAATAGATAATGTCACCAGGTTATTATATGGCTTTTTCCATATCATACCCCATATCAACCCGAGACAGTAATATAAGCCAGAGGGCACTGGGTTTTATATGAAAATTGCCATATAATAACCTACTTACCATATACTTCCATTTTCATTAATATCGAGCAAATATTTCCTACAAATACTGAATAAAAAAACTACTGATTGAAAACGCATTTAATGCTTTATAATAAGATAACAATTATAGTTTGAACAAGGAGTTATTATTAATGAACCCTATTCAGAAATTGCTTTATACTTCAATATTGAAAATACAAAATTATTTTGACACATAAATTGATTGTTGTGAAAGGATTCAGACACTATAAATGTCAAAAACTATGAACACTGTTATTGTTCTCTCTATTATATTGCATCCTTATCTGAATCAGAATAGATGAATAATTGTTACACCAGAACTGCAGAAGTTTTCATCAATTGCACATCTCAACATCTTTTTTATATCAATATGCTCTTCGCGGCTATTTAGTGCAAAATGACTTGTGTTATTCCACCAGACAGTACTAATCAATGCTATTGGGGATCATGGAAGATTAGAATGTTATTTCAATATTCAATATTTAAAAAAAAATTAATACAAATTAAATGAAATAAACAATACATTAGATCATTGTTTTTTTTTCATTTGAATTCTATCATTTTTAATTTAAACTTGTTATTTTAGCGCACTTCATATAAAAATAAGAAGATAGCTTGCTATGAAGTATGGGTTTCGTTCATTTGTAAAGCCTACATGTGCTTTTTTCAACGTTATTTCTGGTCTCTGATGGATATTTGTCTCGTTGGCAGTTATACCATACATTTTAACTATAATTTTTATAATAATTTTGTTATGGCAAAATTTAACCTGTTAATTAACAGGCAGTTTGCTTCATTGACTTTTTATATTATCAATAGAAAATATTTGTTTGTATTCTTTTGTTTTCTCAAACATTTGTCTCAGTACTCACACTTGATTGGATGGTGGCTGTCAGTTTCATATTCACTGCCGTAAGAAAAAGCGGGCAAATAATAAATTATAAATTAGGCCGTTAGTTTTCCCAGTTGAATTGTTTCATATTTTTCATGCAGGGGTCTTTTATAGCCGACTATACGGTATAGGTTTTCTCATCGTTGAAGGCCGTACGATTGCCTATAATTGCTTACATCCACTTCATTTGAACTTTGGTGGATAGTTTTCTCATTGGAAATCATACCACATCTCCTTATGTTTATAAATAATATATTTTATTCAACAGTTGGAATTTCTTTCATTTTCCTTGTCGCTCCGATTGACAAAAAATAACTGTGTACCAATTGCAATGCGAAATGTTTTGAAACTTTTCCAGAAATATCTTTAGGCTGTCTTTTCCATTTTATTTATTGGTAATACCGGCAAAAAACGATAGACACTTTATATGAAAATTGTATAAGGGAAATTATGATTAGCCTTAAGCTTTTCGTATCAGAAAATTCTTAGTTATATAAGCAAGCAGAACACGACAATGACAGGTAATGGCTTCTAAGCTTTCGGGACGGTCACTTGAGGGCTCACGATGAACTAACCTGGTTTAACGGGTAAGAGCAAAAGGCCGAAAAACGAAGCGTCATTCAAGACGAAGGGAAATTATGACACATAGACAAACCCAGGGACAAAACTAACCCAACAACATTATGAATTAATTAATTCCCCACGGAATAAATATAATTTGTTTTTCCTTAAGAAATATTTAAGAAATTGTCTATAATAATGTTTCCAAAGAGACATCTGTTATAAGGAACATATACACGTATGCAGTTTTAACAATAGGTACACAGGTTATTTAAATATTTTGTGTTTTGGTACGATATTATTAATTTGTCAACCTCAGCGTCGATATTTTATGATAAAAAAGTTATCAAAATCAATCCGTATCATAAATTTGCGTTTTACTGATTTATTATATCTTCGTTTCATAACTGATTCCCATTTGTTATTTTGTCGTCTTAAAGATTAATCGGATTTAATGTGGTAAACTTGCAATATCAATACTGATGAAATTTGAACAATTTTAGCAACTCTTTAATTAATTGATCAATATTTTATCCGCTGGGTTAGTTGATATAACAGTTTAATTTTAATAGGTTGAGAGAGGGAGATAATGTGTAGTCGCATATGATGTTTATCGGTAGTTTGTTTTTTCTTCATTGTATCGCTATTCAAGTAAGATTTGGTAAGTTTTTAAGCTTTTTATTTTATTGCTTGACCATATATCATGTGGATTTAATCAAGGGAACTGTTTTGTTTGTATCCTGTTGTCTACTAGTTAGGCGGAGGGTTGAGTGTTCACAAACATGTTTAACCCCGCCTAATGTACCTATCCCAAGTCAGGAGCCTGTAGTTCAGTGGTTGTCGTTTGTTCATGTCTGTCATATTTGTTTTCGTAAATTGATTTGTTTTAAATTAGGCCGTTAGTTTTCTCAATTGAATTGTTCATATTTTTTTTATGTCGGGGCCTTTAATAGCCGACTATACGGTATGTTTTTTTTCTCATTATTGAAGGCCGTACGGTTATCTATAATTGCTCACATCCACTTCATTTGAAATTTAGTGGATAGTTATTTCACTGGCAATAATACCACATCTCCTTATTTTTAGAGTCTTCATATTTTCAAAGGATTTTGGAAAATACAATTGCTAGTTTTACTTTGCTTTTTAAAATCGTTCTTAAAGACCAAACAGACTATTCAGTTCTACCAGTGATTTTTTCTGAAAACTTAGTGTCTAGGTATTTCATGATTTTGCCAACAAAATATGATGAACACAATTGGGAGTCACCCAATTTGTTTTGTAGCTATAGCAACCACAGTTTCGTGTTTTTCATATTTAAAATTTCAAATAATCCAATAATATCGAACCTACAACCATAATATTTTTTTTAAAGCAGATTTGTTTCTTTCGATTAAAGATTCTAGAGTGTATGTTCCTAGGTGCTTTGAAAAGTATGATTTATTTCATTCAAAATATGTAATATTACATTGGTGAAATGGATTACCGTGATTTCCCAGTGACATAAAAACCGATAATTTCACATGTGAAATAAATCTGATAATTTCACTCCTCTGACGTCATACAACAATGGTGTTGTCAAGACGTTGTCGATGACTTTGCATCAATACAATTGAGAATACGTAGAATAAGATATAGTTCATTTCATTTTACTACTTTATAACCATTAAAAAGTCCATAGTCAACCCAATAAAAAGAATAACTAATCCAATGATCAAAATATCGAAAAAATATTTAATTCTTGACCTAACAACAATGATAATTAACGCATGCTGGAATTTTCTCCGAATGTATGAGATGACCAGTTTTAAGATTGATTAACGTGGATAACGTGCATGTGCATGTATGTAATGTTTCGACGTTACGTTGATATACGTTACGTTTATAGTATAGTAAAGTCGTTCACGTATGAATGTTTGTCATCTTTAAATTCAGTCAGTTGTTTCTAGAGTTTAGAAGTGATAGTTGTGAGATATCGAACTAACACCAGCATCAATGTTACCACCGAATTTTAGAAGGTTGTGTGCATTTTTGGTAACCGTTACTTGAAAAAAAAAACGTGAAGGCCAAAATCTGTGAGCTAGCCACATTTTTTTGACAGAAATACGTCGCCATAGGAGTATGTGCATACATATGCTGTTTACGACTACCATTCTTACTTGTCCCAGAGTATTTTAGCAAGCAGTTCCCGTTTCAGCGATGTAGCAAACTTGATTTCCCACTTTGTACCGCATTAGAGTAGATCTTGGTGGGCATAGACCGAAGTGAAATTGAGCTGCTCAGCAATCAAGATGAGAGCTATTCCTCGTTGATGGAACGAAGACACCAAAACTACTTAGGAAATTTTTGGGACGATAATAATGTGACCAAAATATATTATCATTACCCAAAACGAAATATGTAACGAAATGTTGCCTGCCAATGCTACCATATTGAGTATCTCCAAAATGGGATATGATGTGCCTGATGAAACCTTGTATCTATGACAAAATTTGATAGTTGATCTAGAGAAATATCTTAATTTGTATTTGAAATCCTAACAACAACATTGAAATCAACTAGAACAAAAAAGACAAGGCTAGGACGAGTGACATTCTACAAAGTAATTCATATATCATATGGTATGTGAAAGCAAATTCGATAACAGTGATATTCGAACGTTTAGAAAAAAAGTATTGTTCGATCCTTTATGTTCAGATTAAATCCGAATATCACGTATAAAAAGAAAAAAAACCAGCCCGATTACCATAATCCCATGTTAGCTTCATACCGTCTTCAATACTTTGAAAATGTATTTGTTTGAAAATAATAATTTCTATTAGTCGTCTTAGGAATTTTCTCTGAATAGGTAAATATGGACTCACGGCTGGACAAAGAATTCCATTCTCGTAGTTGAAACAATGTATTGACAAAACGTCATTTTTTTTATCTATATAGGAATTAAACCCGTGTCATAGCTCGGTGAAATAGGACGCCATCATCATTGTGTGAAACTGTGATGTATATGTATGCTGTCAGAAAAAGTATTTGTGAATTGTCGGCTTCATGCGATTGTATGTATATGATCTCATCAACGAGTTCAATTAATGGAGGTACTTACATATAACATATCATGTAAGAATTTTAAGTTGTCGTGACTGGAAAAAAATATCTCTATGTCGAGCTCTAGTTCTAAATGGACTTCGGTCGGACAATAAATGCTATTCTGTAGTTGATACAATGTATTTGAAAACAAACCTTACTGTCTATCTACAAAGAAATAAGATCCATGCCAAGAAGTCGGTGAAATTGCAACCCATCAATAGTATCAAGTTGTAATTATAAATTGTGATGTAGATATTGTCAACAAAAGTTTCTAAATATAGCTTTTACGTTATCGTGTGTATTTTGGTCTGTTCAATGACTAAAGTTAATCACTGGTGTCAACGTGATGATCGTAACTGCAATTACGATCATCCCAATATGGCGGACACAAATTTAGGGAAATTTTATAAGGCCGATTTTTCCACTTTAACAGCTTATTTACAGATTCGCATTATGTCAAGCAACAAATTTATAAGCTTTGCCATCGAAGGTTTTTTTCCTACATGATGGAAAAGCAACAAGAAGAACGAAAATTGAGATACAAAAAAACACGATGATGATCGTAACTCTTATTTATTTTATCAACGATGATCGTAATTTTTACTTAAGATGATCGTAACTGTCTTTTCCAACGAAGCATTTTTTAATAAGTAGAGCTGTATGGTATGCGAAAAAGTGTACATAATCAGTTTATATTGTGATAATAATGGGGGACGATTACTGTAGAGGAGGGTTATATTGATTGGTATACGTGTGAGTGCACAATAATGGTTATGATTTTGCGAGATTTCGTACTTTTTTTTTTATCTAGTTTTATATTAAATTGCATTGGGGTAAATATCTTTATAATGATTTGAATATCTTATATCAATAAGGTATTGGAGATTTCATATTAGTGACCAGTTTGGTAAAATTTAAGATTTTTTTTCAATGGAACAATTTGTAGGGACAATATTACCTTTCGAGGACCTGATATGTTTTTGGGGAATTCGGACAGATATAGGATTAAGAGGTGTAACCATATCTGTTGAATGAAAAAACGATTGAAACCATCAATAAAATAGAGGTGGGAAAATATAGCATTACGAAGTTTAACCATATCTGTTGAATGAATAAAAAAATTGAAACCATCAATAAAATAATTCATTGATATTTTTGGCTAAAACAACTTCTTTCTACTAACTACAAAAACACGTGTCATATAACCGTAAGTGTAAGGATTTAAAGTTTGAAAAACCCGGAAACTAATATGAACGTATATACCATTTATTTCAGCTTTTCCTTCATTACAAAAATAGCCTACCCGTGATAAATATAGGCAACAGTAGTCCAGTGGCGGATCCAGAAATTTTCATAAAGGAGGGGGCACTGACTGCCTATAAGAGGGGGCCCGCTCCAGTCATGCTTCAGTGATTCCCTGTATAATCATCCAAATTTCTCCCACAAAAGGGCGGGGACCCTGGCCCTCCCTCTAAATCCGCCTCTGTAGTCTACCAATGTTTAATAGCCATAGTTTGATTAAGAAAATACAAAACCAGGCAACACGCTAAAACCGAGGTAAACACATCAAAATAATGTAACTTCATGCCTACCATTACTTATTTCTAAAATATTCAGTAAAAAGTTTTGGCCTGCAATCTTAAACTGTATCATGAGAATGAAATTTATATTTACTTCATATAAACGTATTCCATTTTGAATGTTAACTAAATTACTCATAAGAAAAAAATATTGATGACATTTGCAAATAAGCCTGTCAATTCCCCCTTATGTCATTTCTTTTTGACATATTGCGGTGTTCTTAAATGCTCATTTTGTTCAGTTTCAAAATAATACTGTTTTCAGTATATCGTGACTGCTAAATAGAATGCTCATTTAACGCATCGTAAATTGTGAGTTACGATCATCTTTATATAATAACAAGTCCGAGTTACGATCATCCATAGCCGAAGTTACGATCATCATCGTGTTATTTTGTATCGCGATTTTCGTTCTTCTGGTTGTTTTTCCATCATTTTGGAAAAACACATTCAATGGCAATGCTGATAAAGATTTTTCTTGACATAAAACATATCTAAAAATAGACTGTTAAAGTGGAGAAATCGGCCATATAAAATTTCCCTAAATTTGTGTCCGCCATATTGGGATGATCGTAATTGCAGTTACGATCATTACGTTGACACCAGTGGTTAATGTAAGTTCTTAACATCAGGCATAAGGTACAATATAATTATCCTTGATTTAGTTGGTTGAATGACCATCAGACGCAGAGCTCTCATCCATATTCCAAATATGAAATAAACAAAACAAATGTAAACAATGTGCACAAACATCTGGTATCATTTAACACACTCCACCTAGTAAGTTAAATTCTCAATAATCAACCAAATTAAAAGAATATACACACGTTTAGCGCTAGTAGTGAGTAGTAAAATCACATATTATTATGACTCTGAACAAAACCAGTTAGCATAAATATATTTAAATTCCGATACATGAACACGTATCGTGATTGACATCTATAATAATTCTTAGACTGATGCTAGGGGTCTTCTGAACTTGATGGTTAGAAGTTTGCTCAATGTTGAAGTGTCAGCGTGACTTTGAGTTCACGGCAATAAAAGCAGTGCGGTGATATTGTGTCATGAATTGATGATCAACATATCCTTTCAAACATATGAAATGTGCAAGAAACCGAAATTTTAAGTAAATATGTAAAATTCCAACCCCATATATATCTAAAAGTAGCACATAAAGGTATATTATTTGTTACGTATTTTTGTTGACTAGGTTAAAATTAACTTGAATGAAAATATTCGTAAAAAATTATCCGTGGTCCAAAATTGTATCGTATGCACTTAATTCCTGCGTTATAAACGGGGAGGGGCAGTTGGATACGGCGTAGCAATCTTGTATTATGTAGTTTTATTGCTGTCAGGTTGACTTTATTCAAGATGTATTCCTCTGACGTTTCAGTCTCGTTGAAATCTCGTTCTGGAATTATTTCCAAAACATGTCATACAAGTGGAAATAGCAATGAATTTAAAAAAATATTATAATCAAACTTAACTCTGTGAAAAAATTGTGTATTTACAATAAGTAGTTTTTGAGTAATAAAATTTTCAAATTTTATAACCAATCAAGTCAGTCTCATTAGCCAAAATGTGGAGAAAATGGGTGAGGGGTACAAGAAATGATTTTACCAGAAACATGTACACCCCTTATCAATTTTTTCTTTTCAGATTTCTTAGATATGTATTTTTTCAATCATTTATAACAAAGAAGTTGAAATGATATGCTTTTTGATCTTAAAAAATAGAAAATCCCAAATTTACAAAATGGATAGCATGGTAAATTTGACACGAAAAAGCAACAAAATTTTATAAAACTTTCTTATATTAACACCTACCTATAGTTTTTTTTTTAAGTTAAATTTATTCAGATTGGTCCACTTCATCTTTAGTGAAAGTATGAAAAAAAGTTTAATTGTGAAACTGTGACTTTTTTCATGATAATAGCCCAAAAATGGGAAAATCATCAAAATATAGATACTTTCAAATGGCCGTAGCAATAAAAGAAGTGCACCACCATATGATTTTTTCTACGCCAATTATTTTTTTTACAGTCATATCAACCCAAAAATCAGGTTAAGAAAAAAAGTTTAATTTAATTCTAGAAATTTTTGGCTCCTCAGAGGTGTACATCCTTAATCCTCATACCTCCTTTTTCTCAAAATAACCTCATATCAATTTTTAGAAACATAAAGCAAAATGTTTGAATAGAAATATATTCTTCCCCGACTTGCAGTAAAACCCTGGCCAAAGTGGGTCGTCGATTTGGCTGTGCGGGATGTACAAGTATGCAGCCACGTCCGTTCAGAATGGGAACATGAAATCTGATGCTTCATGTAAGTTAAGAATAATTGCAACAACTCTCTTAGGGGTCCGTAGGTGGCCAGTTGCAAGGCAAAATGCATGTCCCTATCCAAAATACATGTACCTTCATTTTCCAGTGGCAGTCCAAATTTCCCCGACCTTAATGCCAGACGGTCTCTATTACAGGAGCTACCTATTGTATTTAATATCATTCATTTGTTCTCGTCCTGAATATGCATGAAATATTTGAAACTGGACGAGAAGCAAACACCAATCAATCCATTTAAAAGCCTCTAGTATTCACCTACTGAAACAAAATACTAACGCAAATTTTAAGTGCCTAGTGTCAGTCCATTCAATGTAAAATACAACTTTCTAACGATATTTAAATGTGAAATTCAACAAGCAAATGACGAAATGAAGCATAATTTTTATATTACATTTTATTTTTCTACAGGAGCAGGCCTTTCACTATTTGGCTGTTACTGGAATGATGATGGCGCCACTTTATCGGATAAACAATCAACTACATCTTCTACGGTTGACTGCATACACCTTTGCTTAACAGTAAATCCCAGTTACATATATGCAGGAACACAAAAGGTATGCACTTGCCATCAAATGTTGTGCGAAGTTCTGTGGCTAGTATTTCTGCCTTAACTAATAGAGGAAAAATGTAAAAGACATTAGACAAAGTCCTTATTTAAAGGTTCCCAAAAACATTTAATCATTCTGGTTGACTGGTATCTTAAAGAAACAATTCTTTGTCCCAGGTGTTGTCTATGTTTCAAAGTCTGTCTGACGAGAAGAGTATTCATGCACCGGTATCCTTTTGATAGTCAAACACCATTACTAACTAGGCAGTCTTAGTTTTCGTCATAAGCAGAGCAGAACATGTTTTTAAAAGATCTCCCTGACATCTGTATATGTGAAACGATTCACACGATAGAAAAAAACAAACATGACGGCATTACAAATAAAAATTTCAGTAAGAAAAGCGAAACAGTACTGTATAGTGAGAACATAAGCAGGGCCCTGTACTTTAGTTCAGTGACGTACAATACGAGACTTTCACAAGAATCTTTAATAACCTTCCCAAGTACATTCAGGTTGAACTGGACGAGTTGTTTTTTTTTTGCCTTAAGAATGCTCCGTACTCAATATTGGTGTAAATTAAGGCAACAGTAGTATACCGCTCTTCAATTTCATAATTCGATTAAGCAAAAACAAATCCGGGTAACAAACTAAAACCGAAACTATAAGAGGAAAACAAGGGAACAACAGAAACACTGAACTACAACAAAAGCAAACGCCAACATACATAGAAACGGACTGCAGATAACAACTGCAATATTCCTGACTTGGTACAGGGCATTTTAAGAAAAACATTGGTGGATTGAACCTAGTTTTATGGCTAGCCAAACCTCCTGCTTATATGATAATATTAAAAATATCGCTGAAATGACAACACTACGTGACAGGAATATTGAACAAACAAACGCAAGAACACTCAGCAAAGAGAAATACATCAATAAATAATATAATTGTACATTACGATGTTCCCTTATCAAACGCTTTAATAAGGGCGTTGGAAAATTGAGCCGTGTCATTTTATTTTGTTATAAATAAGTACACTGGCCTGAGATATTTCTTATCATTCAAACTATTATTTTTAAACGAAGTTTGCAAAATTCTTTCTCCAGGGCTTGTATTTCCTATCATGATTTTCTTGATAGAGGGTTGCTGCTAACAAGGAAATTTATTAAACCAAGAGTTTCAAGTGGTGAAGTTCAAATCATTCCTTTAATAATTTTACGGACGCCATCAAGAGTTGGTTGATCGTTATTGAATATCTGTTTCACAGATGATGACGAATATGTTCCAATTGTCGTAACCACAATCCCGTCATCTTTTCTGCGAATGTGACCTACCGAATAAGACTTACCATCGGGTTTGTACTTACATGAGCAACACGACGGGGCCACATGTAGATCAGGATTTTCCTACCCTTAGGGAGCACCTGAGATCACTCTATGGGTTAGATGAGGTTCATGTTGCCCAGTCTTTAGTTTTCTGTGTTGTTTTTCTTGTACTGTTGTTTATCTTTTGGTCTTTTTTTGCCATTGCGTTGTCAGTTTAGTTTCGACTTATTATTTTGAATGTCCGTCTGGTATCTTTCGCCTCTCTATTAAAATAGTGTATGACTAAATTTAGCCAAAAACTGGTTTCGGAAAGTGTATTGTGCTATTTATATGCAGATATTTTGTCACTTTACCGTCGCTGGCCTTGGAATTTGCGTACAAATGTATGCAATAATATCAAATGCTTCTTATACAAGGTTGGTACTTCATATTGAAGGGGGTCATAGTAATTACAATTCTAAACATGTACACACAGAAAATAACGTATTTTAGATCTATGAGCTTTCATAATGTTCAGACGTGCTATTTTAATTGATGAAGTTGGTTAAATGTGTTCACATAAAGTTGAGCAAACATCCTACATGTATTATATTCTGCCTTTAGGATCCAAAGAGCTGTTATTGTGGCGAAACACTTAATGGTCAAGCAAGTAGCAGGAGTTTTTCAGATATTGAAAGTCAATGTTCTGCACCGTGTCCAGTAGTAGTTACGGATACCTGTGGTGGATACTATAGATTAGCTGTTTACGACATATGTAAGAGCTTGTGTATCTTTAGACTTACATATCAAATGACAGGTTTCGTTATTTTTACATCGACCGTTTTCAACCTATGAAAAATTGTTTGATATCTATGTTTGGCTGTTTATATCTGTTATGTTAACATTACAGGCAAACTCTTTAATACTGATTTCAATGACACGTGTTTCTGTAATAATCTCCTTCAGTTACGCGCAAGACCAGTCTCCATCAGTTACGCGCAAGACCAGTCTCCATCAGTTACGCGCAAGACCAATACTTATGAAGACAAAAATGATCTAATCAGAATGCCATTTATATCTACGGGTCAAAGTTTCCTGGGAAGTTGTAGCCCTAATTTTAAAACGCCTACATAGATTACAAACAAAATGTATCATTTAAATCCTGCCTATACCAAAGCTTCTGGATGGCTGGTACCCTCGGACAGTCATTACCCACTAGAAGTAAAGTAAAAGTAGGATAAATATTTTCATTCGCATGGCAAACACGTTTCTAAATAACCGAAAATATAAAACGTTTCAGAGAATAAAGGTCTAAACAAAACATCAAAAATCGTCTAAGGTCAGGTTTTGACTTAACTTCAGTAAAAATATATACATTTGTTGTGATTATGTGTTATAAATTTACATACATAATGTTTCATTTGAATATTACGCATGAAAAAGCTGACTGTTAGGAGGCTATTATCGGTATTCTGGGGAATGATAGTCCACCTGCTGACCAGGATCCAACCCAGTGGCAGTTATAAAGCGTATGATACCGATGTCCGTGTATATTATAAGTACCTTCACCAAATATGCACGAGACCTAAAAGGATGACAGCCATACATATTAAATTATATCAAATCAATTTTACTGCACTTTATGGGCAATTACTGTATGTACAGTGATGCTCGAGGTCAAAATATCCACGTTGTAGAGCTGATAAAACCAAAAAGACTATAACTAAATCGTATGAAACGTTTGAAGGTGCATGTATAAAACAATTTATGGAATAACCTTCACTAGGTAGTGTGAAGTGCCAATGAAAATGAATTAAATCTTCCCATCGGATAAAAATATATCTTCTGAATTGTAGCAATTCAAATGTAATAGTTTGTCTCTATAAATTAAATGAATAAATCACTTATTGTAGAATAATATTGAATATGAAATAGAACGAGTAATTAAGAATAGCAGACAAAATCGATGCTGATATTACAAGACTTTGTTGTTTTAAGATAACAGTGTTTGATATATTTATTTTATATTTTAATCCCTAAAGTAACATTTGTTCATTTGTTTATTTTGTTTTGGTCTGTAGCTGGCTTAAAAGTCCCGGTAACTTTAGGCGGAAACGACATCACCATAGAATCTACAACAGACTTCACGACCACCCATAGACAAGTGACATTTTCAACATCAGAAGTCCTTTCTGATAAAACAAATAGTTCAACCAGAAGTACTTATAGTAAACCTACTTATTCATTGGAACGTAGTACTTTTCCGAACCTAGACCAAGCAACGGATTCAAAAACAAGTTTTAGTATAAAAGGATTGACCGTTTACAATTCAACACATACAAGTTAGTAAAATTATAACCATTTCAAAAAACTTGCCCACTCATAGAAACTATTAGTATTGTAATAAAAAATATGCTTATAAACAAAGATATAATGTCAACTACTTCCTGTTTCTTATGAACTCTTCAAAGAACTTTTAAAATTCGCGAATTATGTATTACTAAAAACAAATTTGATACTAAGTACATTTAATATATCCGGTTTAGTTGACAAAAGCCATGCTCATGGTCTTTGTGTGAACATTTTCTGAGGGTCGATATCAGTATTTAAAATTGTGAAATACAGAAAAACAATCAATGAACAAATAAGAGATAAGAGATAATGCAGGAAATACCTATCCTGTACAATGTTTGCTCGTGAATTAGATGTTAGATAACATATAAGTGTGATAGATATCGACGTTCTCGATCTAGAGTTCCTACTTTTTAGCCTTTCCTGTTTCAGTTCAATAAAAACGAGCTAATATAGTAATAACACGAGTGCCAATGAGACAACTCTCCATCCAAATCACAATTTATAAAAGTAAACCATTATAGGTTTTCAACTCGGAGCCTTGGCTCACACCACACAGCAAACTATAAAGGGCCCACAAATTACTAGTGTAAAACCATTCAAACGGGAATACCAACGGTCTAATCTATATAAAAAACGAGAAACGAGAAACACTTATGAAACACATCAACAAACGACAACTACTGAACATCAGATTCCTGACTTAGGACAGGTGCAAACAATTGCAGCGGGTTTAAACGTTTTAATGGTACCAAACATTAACCCTTATCTGAAACAATAGTGTAACATCACAACATAGAAAGAAACACTATAAAATATCAATTGAAATGGCTTAACTCAATCAAAAGACATCTTAACGCAAGTCAACATACACTGAACGAATAAATTTGATCTATGATACAATGTAAATACAAAATCAATAAAATAAGGGATGAATAATTAAAGTAACAGTATTATACCGCTGTGAAATGTTAAACAATTTCAGAAATAACCTTTAACAAAAATCCGCCATTTACAATAATATTATACACAGGTAAATGAAAATAATTTTGTTGTTAGGTATACAGTTTAAAAGGAGAAATGAAATATTTTTACAAAATAAATAATTTTCATAGTTCGAAGAAGTGAAAATTTATAGTAATACCAACACTTATCAAAGCTGGTATATAGACCAGATATAACCCTGAACAATGTTTAATTCTATAAAGTTGTTCAGTATTTAGCTCAGTTAATCAAGGACAAGTGAATGGTATAAGCCCCGTGTTCAAATCCGGAAGAGGCCTTCTCATCAGATGGACGATTAGCATTAATCTACCAATAACGCAAACATTTGTTAAAATTTTTTATCGACTAGATAAGAATTAAGGATGAAATGCAAAACTACCATATCTGTTTGTTCTTACAAATCTGAGGACTGTCTTACCTTGTTTGTATTGGATATCTAAGCTTCACAAAACTCCGTACAGACAAAGGTACTTTGCCGGCTGCATGTTCTATCAAGGAATTGTCCGTTAGATTGACAAACATTTTGTTAGTAGAAGTTCCGTAGTAAAAGAGGAATTACAGAAATACTGCGATACTGTTTACTCGCGTAGTGGTATTAACCATATGTGGATTCTTTATAAGAACTCAAAAACACTTCTGGAAATTTTTAAATCTCGGTCATTCTCTGAATTGATTCTATCAAATCCTTCGATGTTCCTACTCTTTTCACCACCATACCACATAAAAAATTGAAAATCCGTCTAAAGGGAATATTCCGCAATGCTTTTCTCCCTAAAAAATGTACCATACGCTTCAAATTTATTGTTTTGGAATAAAATTCGGCATATTTTTAAAAATTTCAAACCGAAGATAAAACATGCTATACCGAAGAACAAGTGATCAGTATGCTGGAGTTTCTCATTAACAATATATTTGTTGAAATGAGTGGTAGCATTTTCCAGCTAGTTGTCTGCATTCCTATGGGAAGAAACTGTGCGCCTCTCCTTGTCGACCTTCTTCAAACTTTTCTGACTTCATTCCATTAAAATAGTATCCTCCTGCACAAGTGATTAAAGAAACCACAGATACAGCCTCATCCGCCTCATTTTTAGACATATATCTCGAATTCGACTACAGCAGTCATCTCAGTACCAGATTTTGACAAACAATACGACTTCAATTCTGAAAATTATAAATTTTCGTCACCTTAGCAGCAATATACAAACTTTACCCGAGTATGGAATATACATTTCTAAACTCATCTGCTACTCAGACTTTTCGAAATTTCATCTGAAAGTACCAAGACCTAATATATAAAAATTCAATTTCTATTCCACAAATAATACAGGATGGTCTTGAATAATAACCTCAAAAGTGACTGGGGAATAGAAATATGGTCACTTAAGTCTTCTTTCGACCGGCAGTAAAACCCTTCCCAAATAGTGGCGTCCGTTTGGCTGTTCAGGATATACAAGTACGCAGCCACTTTCGGTCAGAAGGGGGAAGTTAAATCTGATGGCTTATGTAGAGAAAGTGCCAGGCTCTCTGTACGTTAAATTCAATTGCAACAACTCTTTGGGGGTCCGTATGTGACCTTTTGCAAGACAGTTATCTGTCCCTATCCTATATACCGTCATTTTCCAGTGCCAGTCCAAATTTTCCCAAACCTTTATCTCGGGCGGCCTCTATTACATGACCTACTTATTGTATTTATTGTTAATTTGTTCTCTTCCTGAACATGCATGAAATATTTCCCACTGGACTTTAAGCAACCAACAATCAATCAATCATCTTGAGTTATAGATTATAGGTGCTGGCGTTTACCATTTTGTTTACTTTACAGTTCCCCTTTATTAGTCTTTGTACTACTAGAGATTTCCAATAAAATGACATACGTACCTAACTCGACGTACGCACGTAACGGGACCGGTTATTGCTAACTTATTAATTTTGTTAAATGCGTCATTCAAGTTTTAACTCAGTATTCCTTAACTATAAAACCCATTCAGGATAAATTTTATCAATATCAAGTATTTCTCAGATGATGAAAAACGAAAGAAATCATCATTTTTATATATCACGTGATTATTGAGATTCCCGCCAAAACTTCACTGTCATAAGACCACGTATATACACGTACCTTTACCTATCATACGATTGATTTGAGTTGTCTTTCACACGGCTGGTAATCTACACACGCAGAACAATCGGTTCTGCAATGAAAACCGTGAGAGCATTTTCCGGTTATGCTTGAGTGGAGTAATTGTCACCGCTTCGAAAGGTATGTACATTTCTAAATCGCAATTTTCTAATTCAACTGATCAAAATATTGAAAATCGGAGAATGCTATGCTGTGGTGAATACTTTAACGAAGAGACACATGTATCATTTACTGTTGTGTATGGAGTAAAACTCCTACAAAATCAATCGTCCATCGAGTAATTGCCGAAAAAAGTGACATTTAAATTTTGAGATGGTTCTATTAACAGACCTACAAGTTCATTTTTTTTTCTTTCTGTCAACGGGATTGAGTGTCGTTTTTGGCAGCGTGAACGCTGTCCGAAGTTGATAGACGTCTTAATAAATCTAAAAACTGCCAATTTTCATTATTTCATGCGTGAGGGGATCTGTTCTGATTGAGGACATCGTGAATGCGTGAGGGGAATGCAATCATATCTTTATATCGAAAAATGCAACAATCACTTCAAAGAAAGGCAAATATCTTGCATAGTTTATTGAAGTTCATACTAAATATAAATTGACAATGGAAATTGCTACAACATAAATATAAGTGGTTTAGATTTATGATTGACTGTGTTTTTTCTCCTCGTGTCTGTAAATAAAATTGAGAATGGAAACCGACCGTGCAAGGGCTGTATAGCCAGTCAAGGTCGTTAGAAACTTCCATTTGTTGTTTGAGAATGGAAATGGGGAATGTGTCAAAGAGACAACAACCCGACCATAGAGCAGACAACAGCCTAAGGCCACCAATGGGTCTTCAATGCAGCGAGAAACTCCCGCACCCGGAGGCGTCCTTCAGCTGGCCCCTAATGACTTATCACACTGCAGGCAATGGTGGCGTGTTATATCCATCTAAAACATAGATTTAAGTCTTAATACATGCACGCGTGCAAAAAACATAGTCAATCATAAATCTAAACCACTTATATTTATGTTGTAGCCATTTCCATTCCCATTGCCAATTTATATTTAGTATGAACTTCAATAAAACTATGCAAGTCACTTGCCTTTCTTTTAAGTGATTGTTGCATTTTCGATATAAAGATAATTATCATTGCACTTCCCCTCACGCATTCACGATGTCCTCAATCAGAACCGATCCCCTCACGCATGAAATAATGAAAATTGGCAGTTTTTAAATTTATTAAGACGTCTACCAACTTCGGATAGCATACATGCCGCTCAAAACGACATTCAATCCCGTTGACAGATAAAAAACTAAAATTGAACGTGGAGGTCTGTTAAAAGAACCATCTCAAAATTCAAATGTCACTTTTTGCGGTAATTACTCGTGGGACGATTGATTTTGTAGGAGTTTTACTCCATGCACAACAGTAAATGATACATGAGTCTCTTCGTTATAGTATTCACCACAGCATAGCATTCTCTGATTTTCAATATTTTGATCAGTTGAATTAGAAAATTGCGATTTAGAAATGTACATACCTTTCGAAGCGGTGACAATTACTCCACTCAAGCATAACCGGAAAATGCTCTCACGGTTTTCATTGCAGAGCCGATTGTTCTGCGTGTGTAGATTACCAGCCGTGTTTCATGGTTTTGACCATGACTTTGTTGTTTGATATACTTTGCAAATGAACCTTTTATTATTTAATATTTGACATGCTTTTATTTGTCGTTATCAGATTGGTGTCCCTTTTTCCTTTCGTCCCTTAATGTTTTATAATATTTAATTTCTTGGGTATTTATTATATGACAGAGATTTTTTAGCAATTTCAGAAATATCGAATTCAAAGTGTTAGTCAGAATTTGTCTCTGTTAAAGTTGATAACTGGGATTGCATCATACTTTATTAAGCATCATTTCAAACGATCTCTTCTTCTGCAGTTAATCTTCTTTAATTTACAATCTCCGATTTTTTTCCCAAGGGAAAACGTTCGACAAAGGGATGTGTATATTCAAAAATAATTAATACAGGTCTTGTACTTCTTTAAATTTTAATAGTTGACATACACTTTTCTTTCAAATAAAAGTCAACTAACATTAAAAAAAAAGAATTTTGTAATTAATAATAATATATGTAAATAAATGTGTACACCAATTCGTTATATAGATTGTAATTTGGAAGGTGTACTTGATTAGCAATTGATGACTAATCTGCATATAAACATTGACCGCTGTGGATAGTAAAATATCAATTAATAGTTCATAGTAATTGGCTAAAAAAATGTCCTATCCCAGGTATCTCTGATTAAAAGTGGACGAGAATGCCAATTTATATACTTGTTACACTTTTAAGACAACTATATTGCCACTTCAGTCTTTACAGTAATTTTTTTTTAAAATGTACTTTCAATAAGTGAGGCTTGATATTGTCATAGTTGTTTTTGGATTAAGACAACTCTTACAAATCCAATTAGAAGTGGATTCTAAAACTATCACATGTTGATTGAGTTAAGCAAAAATTTTTACAGTACGGTACTCTGTGTCTTTCATCATAAAAATGTAATTGTTTTGGGCTTAATTCAATATTGATTAGTTGAGCTATTTCCAACGAATTTTGAACATTAGTGTTCATAACTGTATAGCAGATTATATGTAGTTTCTATAAAATGTAATGATAATTTATCAGTAAAAGATACATGAATATTTGCTAGTGGGTTTATATATAACTAAATAAATGAATATTTATATTAAAAGAAACATCAGAAACAAGAATATATGTCCATTAGATTACACTCCAGTATCACATTTCCGTGTTAGGTGAGCTCAAAATCCAGGAAAAAATCCTATTCAGTATGTAGTCTTAAACTTTTAAAACTCGTGCGAGATGTCTAATGTTCAAACATTGTTGTTTTTAAAACGTATTTATCAAAGTCAAACGACAATCATTTAATTTTTTTGGTGCTATACAATTTGTGATTATGGCCGGATCCAAGATATTTGAAAGAGGGCGTAGTTCCCGATAATTGAATTTATACTGCCGAGCGAAGCAACGCGAAAAAATATTGGACGATTTTATACTAAACATTTGTATAGATAACGTGGAAAATGTGAGATGTTCAAAATTACTTGGCGATCGAAAGGGGGAGTACGCCCTCTACCCCTGTATCTGCGAATGCACGTTTTGGTATACATGATCAAAACCTCGTCCCATGCATTATTATAGTTAAAGGCTAAACAGTACTTTTTGATAAATGTATCAATGATATGAATTTCTGCACACGTCAAATTATCTAGAATAAAATTATAGAAAAATATTTATTTTTAAAAGTTAGTCGCGTACACCTTTTACATTCGGGTGTGTTGGAATCCACTTTTTAAACTTTAAAACTTATAAAAACAAAAAAAGAGATAACCTTCTCGCTTCGGATTTCATTATTTCAATATTTTCATGCTAAATGTTTACCTGGTAGTTTTTAAAATTCATATGTTGAGAAGAACTGAAATATGGGTCAAGTGAAATGACAAGAAATGATGGGTGTATTTGATTATAAGTTGCTAGCTTATTTATTCCATTTAAATATTTTTGTCAACAAAATCATTAAACATTTAATAACAAAATATTTAAAGATTAAAATAAGTAGTTGGGGTTGATTTTTACATTAAGTTTATATCAGCAAAAAATGCGTGTTCAAAGAGCAAAAAATGCATGCAGTGTATGCTCCCCTCCGTCATGCTTCGATGCAATAGGACGATATACGTTGAGTTAGGTCGGTTATGTCGAGTAAAGTCATTTTATTGGAAATCTCTAGTATGACCCTTTAAATACCCTAAGCTTGTAATCATATTTTACTAAATTGGTACTTGAAAGTGTATACTTGTATGTCAATGGCTTACTATACTGTATGTACCATCAACTATACAATTTTTAAAGCATAATATTCATTTTACAGTATACTATTCATTTTACTTTATGTACCATAGTATTTAATATGCAATTTTTATCCGTAATTCTTATATTTGTCTGATTTTATAACATAGCATAGACGGACAACGTTATATATAACATTGCGAAAGATTTGTCAAAGCCAAAAAAAAACGAAAAGCTTGTCTCAATTCAAATGTTATTATAAGAAGTGAGTTCTTCAATTAAAATTGAGATAGGGTTGTTTAAGGGGACATCTATGGCAAGCCGTTCTCGTCAAAACTATGTTTAAACCACATTTCGAAAAATTTACACACTGAGAATTAAAAAAAAAAAACACGGAGATTAAAAAACCTAAAAACACACACTGAGAATTAAAAATTACACACAGAGATTTCATAAAGACGCACTGAGAATACAAAAAATGAAAAACACACACTGAGAATTGAAAATTACACACTGAGAATTGAAAATTACACACTTGAGATTTCAAAAAGACACACTGAGATGAAATAAACAGAAAAACACACACTGAGAATTTGAAATTACACACTGAGAATTTAGAATTACACACTGAGATTTGTGCGCACATATCTAATTAGCATACTTAATCTGAATCTATTACAAGCTTAAAACAACTAGGGGACAGAACTCGTTAGTCCTTCAATCTGGCGGAAAATGTTTTATAAAATACATTAGAAATAAAACGTATATAGAAAAACTATGTTATCAAAGACCAATAGAAAAAGAAAATACCCACTTACTCTCATTACAAAATATAACCAAATGGTGAAATCTTCATTAAAATTATAAGAAAACATTGGAACAATCTGCAAAAAGACCAACAATGCAGTGAAATTTTCACCCAAGTGAACTGCATTATTTGTCTTTATGTAGATTGGATTTGCAAATGTTTTATAAAATACAAAAATATGAAAGATTACCTTGCAAAATCAGGGTAACAGTTGAAAGACTTTTGAAAAGGGACCCATGCTTAAACGTTTTATGCAATCAATCCCGATACACTGTTAGAAATTATATGAATTATAGACAACAGACTTATGAACATGAGTTAGCAAAAAACGATTTTAAGTCTTGAAATTTATTACGAATGTTGGTTGAAGAAACCGCATTTCATTATAATGACAAGAGTTCCGGAGACCAAGATATTTACCTGTTGAATTATGCATCTCATGAATATTCATTAGTAATTTGCATATCAATCTCAGTGTGTATTTTTGAAATCTCAGTGTGCAATTAACAATTCTTAGTGTGTGTTTTTCAATTTCTTTCATTTCAGTGTGTCTTTTTAAAATCTCAGTGTGTAATTTTAAATTCTCATTGGTGTTTTTCATTCTTTTAAATCTCAGTGTATAATTTTAAACGTAATTTCGATTTCTCAGTGTGTTATTTTAGGTTTTTAATTCTCAGTGGGTAATTTTTTCGAAAAAAGGGTTTAAACATAGTTTTGACGAGAACGGCTTGCAATAGACATCCATTAAAAACTGACAAAACCAGCGGAACGAGTGAAAAACCACTGTCATATTCCTGACGTGTTACAGGCATTTTCCGAAGAAAACTAGTAGTTTTAATTTCATTTAACGGTAAGGTAAACGGTTATAATACACATCTTCGTTTAAAATAATATATTTTCGTTACAGAAGTCTTTCAAACGACACAAAACATCAAGCAAGAGACAACACCACCTCTTTCAGTGAACAATAATTGTACACAAAGAAAATGTATATGTGGTAAATGGAGTCATTTGAACGGTCTTAATTTATCGAGAGACGAACTTAGTTTGATCCTGAAAAGCGACTTGGACACTATTCATCAAAATTTAATAATTGACGTTAAAACAACTTCTGCGTTTCGAAATAAAAAGATCTCAGCACCGGATTACAGAAAGTCTTCCGCATTGATGGGCTACTTAGGTGTTGCTTTAATATGTGTACCTATAACATTTGTTTTATTTATTGATTCCCTAAGGTTTTGTAAAAAGTAACAATTACGAATGATATTTACATAGCAGTGAGTTGTAACAGTTTTTTTCAACTTGTTCTTGTTCAATGTCTAAACATAAACTGTATTTTTAAATATATTTTTTTCCATAAAAAAATCGCCTGTCCGCTTATTCCATTTATATACATTGTTTAAAACGCATTATATTTTTGTGAGTTTTATGGTGTTCAGTCCTAACTTTTCTATGAGGTATTTTGTGAATTGTTTTTGTTTCGTCATCCTTTTTTTTTTTGCCATGACGTTGTCAGTTTCTCTTCGACTAAGAGTTTTTACTATCCCCTTGGTATCTTCCGACACTTGTTTAGTACACCTTTATTTTAGTATCCATCCTGATATTGAACAAAGACGCCCGTTCATTTTCTGTTCGACCTTTGACTTAGCAGCAACATTGATAAAGTTTAACTATTAAAGCTGTTTTTCCTTATAACTTTCAGGGTTAGTTTTAGATTTTACAGTTCTTTTTAATGACGTTTAATTGGGATCTCAAATCCATCAAAATGCATCTCTTTTTGTAAGTCATAAGCTGGACCAAATATTGATATCATATCCGACAAACGTATTATAACATTATAAGCTGGGTACGATACAGATAACAGAAACTGAATTTTATAGCATTCACGAGTTTATTGACCGTTTTAAATTATCTGTTGCACAGATGACGGAGAAAATGTTTGAATTTTTGTAATCACAATCCCGTTCTCTTTCCTCTATCATGAGATCACCGAATGTGTACTTACATGAACAACACGACGGTTGCCACATGATTTGCAGGATCTGCTAAGCCTTTTCAGATCTCATGCGATTACCCTGATCTGTCTTCCGTCTTTGTGTGTTGTGTTTTGTCTTTTTGTCATTTTTCGTTTTTCGGGATGGGGTTATCAGTTTGTCTTCGATTAATCATCTTAAATATCCCTTTGGTATCTTTCGCCTGACTGTCTTTTTTCACCGCCTTTTTTTTTTTAACCTATCCCGATATATATTGTCTAATATATGTCATTTACAAGTGAACAATTTTGCATATCAACCGACGGCAGACAATAAATGCATGTATGATAAATGACATTTAAAATGATAATAATTAGTTATAGCAATAGGTCATACTGTACTCAATATGCTTCCTTTGGTTTTTATCGGATTCCCTATAAAAATAACTTGAAATCTAAGAATATCCCCGTGTTTCATGTAACAGTCATTGTTCTTCTACTTCTTTTAGAACTGTAATCTTCCTTGGCCCCATAGTAGGGAGCTCCCGCAGATGAGGGAGATCGTGAAGTCGATACCTGTCTGCACGTTAAAACGGCATCCACGCTAAGCAAGCGATATAAAAGGGGTAGTAGCAAAGACTGGTCGGTTGAGTAAGAATAATGCTTCCGGGTAAAGCGATAAGTCTTTTCTTTAAGTTAATAAGAAAAATATTGACTTCATGTAAATATATGTATATATATATATGTATACCATCTTTTCCGCAAATTTATTGTTTTCTGTTTGGTATTAAATTAATAATAAAGATCCATTTTGTTTCATCTTGACGTGATCCGTTTATTTGGCAATCGCCAATGGCAGTCAGCAGGGTTTAAGAACATCCGTTGTTCGACCTGTTAGTCAAATGCGTTTTGTTTAAATATACTTTTTCACTTTTTTGGTCTTTTGGAAAATGTTGTATTTGCTGTATTTAGACCCCTCTACCAAGGAATTTGTTTTGCATGCACACGTATAAAAATTGCGGTTTTTATCCAACGCAATCATAGGTTTGAATGTTGTTTTCAATTTAGACTTATATATATATAAGTGCCTAGAAAATAAACCTAACAATGTTAGAGTAGATCTGATTCTTTACTTCCTCCCGAACGGGGTTGGAACCTGTACTTTTCACTTCCCACTTCTACGACAACACCGCCTAGCATTGCGCAGACGCATTATGCCCTCCTCTATCTATAGCTGATCAAAATCGGCTTTCGTTTCTGGAGGTGTTACCTTCTCGTAGGTATTAAACAAGGACATCTAGCACAATACACGAAGTATATTTAAGTGTACAGAAATGATCATCTACACATCTGTTCAGTATAATTACAGGATGCAATCATTTTTATAAGCATACAATTATTATGAATTTATAATGAGATATGTCTGCTTATGTGTAGTGGCAACTATAAATTATACCTTTTCCATCGGATTTCTTATCATAAAGAAATACCAGGCGTTAGAATATTTATAAAATGCCTTGAAAATCAACCTAACAATGTTACAGTAGATCTGATTCTTTACTTCCTCCCCGAGCGGGGCTGGAACCTGTACTTTTCACTTCTCACTTCTATGTTAACATAAGAAATCATAAGAAATCCGATGGAAAAGGTGTAGTTATAAAAAAGGGTACACACAATGGGGCAAACCCGTAATTTCCTTTCGAAATTGAAAAAAAAAGACGGACACTTTATCCTATAATAAAGGCCGAACGAAAAAACAGGTCGACATTATTGCTTATCCGTGACAAATTCTATGTTAATGATGAGCTAGTATCAGTGTCTAATGACGGAACGCCTCGTGAAGAGCCCCGCCAGACAACTACCAGACCGAAAAAACGATCGCGAGTGAGCTCTACTCCAGACAGAGAAGGAGGGAGTTAGGTCAACCTTCAAAGAGAAAATAACAGTCCAGCTCAATCAATCGATAACAATACAAACAACAAGTAATAGCTTTTCTAAAAAGCTAGCCGTCTCATTACTGATGAAAGTGGAAAACGTTTTCGCTTTGTAGATTATTTCGTGCAGAATAGCCTTGTATATAAATTGTAGTGGATTACAAAAATTATAAAAGGCTTACTGCAGTATACCATTTCTTAGATTTACCAATTCTTTTTTTTTTGGGGGTAATGTATTAACACTTGAAAGGGAGAGATAATATCTTAATCATCTGCGTTTGTACCTTTTTATCGATTTTTTTTTTTCAAACAGATATGTTGTTCATTTACTTTTTCTTTGATTGTTTGTTTATTTATTTGTGTTAGGAAAGTATGGCCGCTTCCACCTTAATCTTTTTCATTCGTAATAGGCATCGAAAAGTGTAGAGAGTGAAACGTGGTAAAATTTAAACATATAAGAACACAAATAATATATTTCCAACGGTATCTCACATCTATTCAAAATGATCCTTAAAATGTATAGCCTTATATATGTGTAGTTATTTTTGATGTCTATTCATTGTAGTTGGAAGGAATGTGGAATGCCCCACGCCTCATTTTCTATATTTGAATAATGAGTATCCGTACAATTAAATGTTTCTTTTTTCAGATTATATGGTTTTATTGGACTTCTTGAATATACTTTTTTGAGAAAAAATACTCAGAGGGTAATTTGTTAAATAAGACTTATTGTAAGCGCCTGAAATTCAATAGATAGTAGTTTTGCCATTCTTTTTTTCAAATTATAATAATGTCATTGGTTATAAAGAAGGGGATAAGTTCTGCAATGTTATTTCACTATGATGCCATCAACATAATAGAATCAACAAATTTTACCAAAAACTTTATTATGCATACAATTTGATACTGTATCGTTTGCTATTGTTTTACTCAGTTGTACATATCTTCATATCTATTTATTATACCATTTAATGTTGGGTGACGAATAAGGCCCTTATCTTACTTACCCTTCAAAGCTTGACATACTGGATTGACATAATCTTTTGTGGGTGACCGTTCGTATGTTGACATATACATGTCCGTTTTCTTTTTTTTATGATCATAGTATATGTATGATTATACTTGTTTTACAATTCTTGTAGAGAACATACAATTAAGATTAATCTTTTAAAATGCCAACAGTATTTTCGTCTTTTAAATTTATAATTTTATTTCATTTTTCTTTCTCTCATATAGCATGTATAGTATAGATAGTCAATAAACCTCAATACAAATATTAGAAGTTTGTTCCTGACCCTGCTCCTTGTTTCAAGTAATATCTGAATTAATTTTTTGCTGTTAAGATTATTTTTTAAAGTATTCACAACTATTTTATATATTATAGCTAGACTTGGGAGGATAAAAAGCTTAAAATATTGTAACGGCATGTCCATTGAAGAAGACCGTAAATTAAACTTTAGAAGTAAATTGTTTTGTTTGTTGTTTAATTGGGTTGCTGTTTAAATTTATTATGTATATACTTCACATCTTCTTTAAATTTTCAAAATTAAACCTTGCTTACAATATGTTAGCATAATGTACAATTGCTTTTATCGTCTAAGAGTAGTTTTTTTATTCTTCTTATATTCCCTTTAGATATTTTTTAGTCTTTAACCGTTCAGCTATCTTGATAGGAAGAGCTAGTGAGAGCTAGACAACATCCAACCCAGCTTAAAGATCTTGGGGGCGTGTGGGGGACACCGGCTTATTATGTATTGAGTGGAAGGAATGACTCGCTGGGATAGGTCACTATTTTAAGCTTCATGATATTTGATGAGGTCGAGAAATTTAAGTGAAATATATGACAAGGTTTATGATTGAATCTGAAACTAATCAGATGTCGATATTTTTTTTATAGATGCCACTAAAATCACTAGAATCACTGTCGTAAATGTTTAAAGCCTCGGTCACACCTTAACGGATAGCTCGAACGGATGCCGAACGGATAACTTTTTTTCAATCCGTTCATGTCCGTTAGACGTCCGTTCTTATCCGTTAGACGTCCGTCCATATCCGTTTCATGTCCGTTTAGCGTCAGTTTTCTCCGTCGACGTCCGTTCTGGCCGGTGGAAAATTTTGAGCATGTTCAAAACTTTGAACGGACGTCCAACGGATGAAGTGTCCGTTGAACGTCCGGTAGGCGTCCGTTTTGTACGGTACTCGTCTGTTTCGTTTCCGTTTTGTATCCATTACTTGTCCGTTATACATTCGTTAGAGGTCCGGTAGACAAATTCACAAACGGACTTCTACCGGACGTATAACGGATAAAACGGATGATGAACGGATGGGAAACGGACTTGAACGGAAGGATAACGGATACCTACC